CAATCCAACCTGAGCTGTAGAAGAAAGGAACGCCTGCCTCGCCAGCAACAGCGCGTGCAAGCAGCGTTTTCCCTGTTCCCGGCGGCCCCATGAGCAGCACACCCTAATGGCAGCCACACGCGGCATTGGGGGGGGGGGAGGTGTACACATGTCAGAAGTGTGGAAAGGATGTGTGGTGGGGCAAGGCGTGTTGACGTTGTTGTTGTTGTTGTTGTTGTTGTTGTTGTTGTTGTTGTTGTAGTTGTGACATGTCGTGGTGTCGGGGAGAGACTCAGACGTCGCATACAGCTGTTGATGCGTTTCATACACCACTCAACGCTGTAGTTGCTACTGACCTTTGGCAGTCTGCCGCCCAGTCGGGTGAACTTGGTTGGATTTTTCAGGAACTCAACAACATTCATCAGCTCCTGCTTCGCCTCGTCCGCCTAATACGGAGGGCGGGGTTACACGTGTGTGTATGAGTGTGTGTATGAGTGTGTGTGTGTGTGTGAGTGTGTGAGTGAGTGAGTGAGTGTGTATGTGTGTGAGTGAGTGAGTGAGTGTGTGTGTGTGTATGTGTGTGTGAGTGTGTGAGTGAGTGAGTGAGTGAGAATGTGTGTATGTGTGTGAGTGAGTGAGTGAGTGAGTGAGTGAGTGAGTGAGTGAGTGAGTGAGTGAGTGAGTGAGTGAGTGTGAGTGAGTGAGTGTGAGTGAGTGAGTGTGAGAGACAGACAGACAGACTGTGTGTTGATTGCACAAGTGTGCGTGTGCGCGTGTGCATGTGTATGTGCAAGACAGCGTTGACGGCGGTGTTGGCCTCACCCCCTGGACGTCGTCAAACTTGACGGGCGTGGCTGGCTTCTCGGGCTTCACTTCGTGCTGGTTGAATGCACCTGATGTACATGATCATGCAAGCGAATTACAGAATCGCGGCGTCAGATATACGCTTGCAGTGAGAGACAACGAGAATGACAAGCGCACGTCTCCACACAAACACACACACACGCACACAAACACGCGAAAGGAACAGAAGCATGCACGCACGCGCGCGCGCACGGGCGCCTGGTGTGGGAAAAGCTTACCACCCATGTTTCTGTCCTCGAGAATCTGGGATGTGGCGGAGAGGAGGAGGAGGATGATAATCACCGTGCGCACAAACTTCCACAGCTGCGACATCAGGCTCGGCTCCTGCGGTGGTGCGAGTAATGGTCAGACACGTGGAGAGAAGAGAGCGAGGGAGAGCGAGGGAGAGACACACACGCGCATGAACACGCACACATATATTCACACACACATGAGGGAAGGAACACGGACAGACAGACAGACACACACACACATGCACATGTCACATGCGCACACACATGCGCACATCTGCCGACGTACCGACATGACGACGTGGATTGGGTTGTCGTAGTCGCCGGCGTTTGAGTCACCGCGCCCGCCCGTAAACGCATCCCGTCCGCCGCGCGACGACGACGACGAGGAGGAGGAGGCGGAGGATTGGCGGGAGTGCGGGGGTGCCATCATGGTGAACGTCTGACCTTTGCGCATGATGCCTGGCACGAGCGAGTCTAGGTCAGAGAGGAGGGTCGAGATGTCTCTGTTCTTCAGTCGGCCCGTGCGCACAAGCGCAGATATGTAGTGCTTGACGCAGTCCTCGTTCATGCTGTACAGATTGGATTCAAACCGCTGAATCACATCCTCGGGCTCGTGCTCAACAAGCGCCTGCAGGGAGCGACGATGACGAGGAGGCAAGGGAGGGGACGAGAACGCAAGGTTGCATCAGCAAAGAGCAACATGAGTTCTGTGGTTTGCAATGAGTTTGAGACACACTCGTCGACAGAGACAGAGAGAGAGAGAGAGAGCAACGGAGACGCACACACACACTCACACACACACACACACACACACACACACACACAAACACACACACACACACACCACACACACACACACACACAAACACTCACACACACACACCACACACACACCACACACACACACACCACGCATGCGTACCGCAAGGAAGGTGGATTGCTTGTCTGGGTTCTGGGGCTCGGCCTCAGCCTCGTCGTAAAGCCGGTCGAGCTCCGATATCGTGTACGCCATCCCGCGCCGCTGCTGCTGCTGTCCAACACCAGACAAGACCGGCGTCGACGCAGCACGTGCTCCTGTATACGCATGCGCATGTGCATGAGTGTATGTGTGGTGAGCGTGAGGTTAGTGTGTGTGTGTGTTATTTGTGCACAAGAATAAGGCTTGTGTACATTTATGTGTAATCGTGACAGGCGGATGTGTTACCTGGCACACGGATGGCTGAGAGCGCAGGTAGCGCCGCAGCGCGAGTGGAACTGAGGGCACGGCGTTGTGAACACAAACACCGATGCAGCTCCTGTGTCACCAGCAGCAGCAGCAGCAGCAGCAGCAGTTTAGAGAGGTTAATGGTGAGGTTGAGAGTACGGCGGAAGCCAGAGTACAACGTCCGCGGGGAGCATACCAGAGCAACACTGCTCCGTAACGAGTGCACCACGGGTTGCACGCCATCACCAGCACCACCACCAGCACCACCACCAGCACCACCACAACCAACATCACCAGCAGAGACAAGCCACGCGCACACCGACCTGCAGGGATGCTTGTGATCTGGACTCCAGCAGTTTAGGTGTGTTGGCGATGAGGCGTGTCGTCGCCGTTACCACCTGTCAGCGCAAACACGTGGCCTCTGGCGTCAGTGGGCATCACCACACCATGCAGAGCATCCAACATTACAAAACACAACCACATGAGCCTGCACCAGACAGCGCTCTTGCGACATACCGCACTGGTCTGGGCACGCGTTGTGTGCGGCAGCAGCCGCCGCGCAAGGGCCAGCATCATCGCTCAAAGAGACGTTTGCTGCGCGACTGGCTTTTGTAAACAGTGTGCAGCGAGGGGCCGCGCAATGTCGTGCAACAATTCGGGGAAAGAGAGACGACCCAACCAAACAAAACAAAAAGAACCTGGGTTCAGTACAAGAAGAGGAACGAATGAGACACTGGGCAAAGCAACCCCCGTGGCAAAGCGGGCACCACTATCAACAATCCAAGGCCGACGTTGCCGTGGGCAGCCTTTCCAAACAAGCGAGCGAGCGAGCAAACGAGGTTGGTTGATTGGTTGGTTGGAAAGGATGGGTGGTGTGTTGCTGACTGTGTGCGTCGATTTTGCGTTCTCCTTGTTCTGGTGGCAACGACCATTAGAGGAAGATGCCCGTCAATTTTCCATTTCCTCAACTTTCATCAGCAGCGTGAGCGGTGAGCAAAGTGGAGACGGGTGTTGCTGTGGTGGTTGTGGTGGCTGTAGTGGTTGTGGTGGTGCTGATGGAGGTGCAAACGGTACACAAAGCCGGAGACAAGGAGGACAGTGTGGGGGGCATGTTTATACGTGTGTAGATGCGGTTCCCTATTTGTGCTTTTGTGTCCTTTTTTTGTCTTTTGTGGGACGGACTTCACGTTCCTTTTTTGTTTGTGGCTGATGGTGGTGGTTCGATCGTGGTGTGGTGGCTTGCTTGCTGTTGGGACTGCTGTTTGTGTCACAGCTCCCTTGCTGTGTTGGTTGGCGTGTGTGCATGTGTGCTTGATCTTCTTATGAAAGTTATTGTCTCACTCAAAGCTATTGTCTCACTATCACGCTCACTCTACTCCCACCCACTCACTCACTCTGTCTGTGCGCCGTACTCCTTCTGCTTACCGTGCACCCATCGTTTGCAACACCACACTGACGGGTTGTTTAGTGTCATCTCTCCCGTGTTCTATCTTCAAAGCAAGTTAACGCAGATAACAAACAATCATGGCTCCCGTCATGCGTGGTTTCGTCATTGCCAAGCTCACCAAGGACATCGCTGTTGGCGGCGTAAGTGTCATGATGTGTGTGTGTCTGTCTGTCTGTGTGTGTGTGTCTGTCTGTCTATCTGTCTGCCTGTGTCGGTGTCTCGGTGTACACTTTGCTACGAAGGACCACACACCCACTGTACTTCTCACGCACCTTGTGTGTGTGTGTGTGTGTGTGTGTGTGTGTGTGTGTGTGTGTGTGTGTGTGTTCCCCTCCCCCACCCACGCTTTGCTTCATATGACAGGTTCTCGCCACCATTGGCGCCCTTGGCTGGTACAACTACGTCTACTCGTTCGAGAAGGAGTCCATGGCTCGCCTCAGGGTACGAGACACGCGTACTATTACTGCTGCTGCTGCTGTTGCACTTGTTGTTGTTGTTGTTGTTGTTGTTGTTGTTGTTGTTGTTGTTGTTGTTGTTGTTGTTGTTGTTGGTGTTGTCATCTGCATTTATACAGCGACAGACAACTACGTACGCACAACCACGCACAAATGCACGCGCACACAACTATCATCTTTCACGCCCTCACTCATTGCTTCCTTGCTGTCTCCCCCCCCCCACTCACACAGGTTGACAACACCATCAAGTTCCAGGAGCAGCAGAAGCAGTAACTGGTGATTGCACGCCTTGCCGCGCTGTTGTGTGGTTTACTTGATCTGCTTTTGTTGGCTCTTTGTGTCGCCACGTGTGCCTTGTGTTGTGCACACTCTTGCCTCCCCTCCCTCCGTCTAATCCTCGTCACCCCAACCGTGTGTCGTTCATGGTGGTCCCGTGTACTCATTGTTGTGTTTGCGTGTGTGTGCGTGTGATGGATGGTCTCCACGCACCTCACGCTTGGTCCAGTGGCTGTCTGTATTCTCTGTCTTTGTTCCAATTAAACTGGAAATAGCACCACAGCAACATGTGCGCGCGTGAAGCGGTGGTCACTTTGCGCGGGCAAAGAGCACCTCAAACCCGTTGAGTTGCCGCAGCCGCAGCAGCTTGGCCTCATCCTTACACGCCCGTGCAAGCGCCATCGCCCCGTTTTGCTGCAGATGGTGGTGATGGTGTGATGAAGGTAGTGATGGCAGTCGAGGTGGTGGTGATGGTGTGTGTGTGTGTGTGTGTGTGTGTGTGTGTGTGTGTGTGTGTGTGTGTGAACATTTGGGAGGCAGACTCGTGACGCCGTGCAGCTGTGCAGCCGTGCATGCAAGCAGCAGAGAGCTTGCAGGCAGCCGTGCATGCAAGCAGTGCAGGGCAGCATGCACACCTGGATGGGTCCCTTTTCCCTCTTGGCGACGTGTAAGAGCGCGTCCACACACGCAACAGGCGCGGCAGCAGCAACCTGCAACAACAACAACAACACCACCACCACCACCACAGCGGTGTGAGCAGCAAAGAAGCAAATGAGAGTTGAAAGCTATTTTGGAAGGAGGGTTTGGCGTTTGAAAAGCGAGAGGGGGGGGGGGGCGCTTGCGAAGATACACAACGAGCAAGTTTATGAATCTGCACATATGTGTGCACGTGTGTGAATGGCACCTTCTCGTCAAGAAAGAGCCCGGCGAGACACAGGGCGGCGTTGCCAACAACCTGAAGACGGTGGTGGTGAGGGGAGGTGATGACGAATGGCGATGAGTGGACGTGATGATGCAACAACACGCACACACACACACACACACTCTCTCTCTGTCTCTCTCTCTCTGTCTCTCTGTCTCTCTCTCTCTCTCTCTCTCTAATACACACATACACACACATACACACACACGCACAACCTGTAACGCGTTGGTAACGCATGGCAACAAACTCACAGCATCGCTGCTGCTCGAGAGGAGCGGTATTATCTGTTCTTCGAGTGCGCGTGTGTCTGTCATCGCCGCCGCCACATCCGCTCGCACATCTGTCGACAGCGATTTCGCCAAACACCGCACAGCATGGCCCACCGTGGCCTGACACGTGGTGGGTGGTGGTGGGTGGTAGTGGTGGTGTGCAGTTTGAGTTGTGGAATGAACATCACATGGTGTGTGCGTACACAACTCATCAGCCCTCAGACAAGCTAAGCACACACACACACACACACACATGCACGCACACACAGACACACAGACACAGACACACACACATGCACACACACGCACCTCGTCGTCTGCTGTCAAGAGGTCTACAAGTGTCTGGATGCCACCGCTGCGCACCAAGGCTGCGACCAATTGCGACGACGAGCACATGCGTGCAAGCAACGCCACTGCATTGGCTGTTGTCGTGGTGTGCGCGCGCACATCTGTGTCGCCGAGGCACTTGACGCACAACAGCACGACGTCCGTGGTGGCTGTGAGCTGCTCAAATCCACTCGCATCCAACCCCATATTGGACAGCGTTGCCAGCAGTCCCGCAACCGCGCTCCTGGTGGGATATGCGCACATACACAGGGGCGCGTGAAGTGCACGGGCACATGTGAGGGGGCGAAACACCAGTGCATCACACAGATGCAGACACATCCAGGCACGCGAGAGTGAGAAGGGAGGACAAGGGTAGTGTGAGGGAGGTAGGAGCATGGCATGCATCGTGAATGACAACGCAGCTCAACTACAAGCGCACGCAGTTGATCAGATCCACAACAGCACGGGATGTGAGCACGCACGTGTGTTTGCACTGCTGCTGCGTGGCCACTGCTGCCGTGATGGCGCGGATGTGTGTGAAGAGGAGCGGACGGAGGCGGGCGTGGCAGCTCGCTTGCAACAGCACATGCGCACACGCCCTCGCCAGCGCCAATAATGACTGGCGGTGGTAGTGGTGGTGGTGGCAGTGGTGGCAGTGGTGGTGGTGGTGGTGGTGGTGGTGGTGAGATGAAAACAATTTGGTGGCAGCACTGATTCGAGCACATGCTCAGATGCACAAAAGACGAACCTCGCGCACCACACGCCATCACACACTCACACACACACACACACACCATCACACACAATCACACATACACACACAATCACACACACACCATCACACGCACACGCACCATTACACACCTGCTGTGCCTGCACGGAGGTGACGATGTGACTGATGACCGCTGCACCGCCACGCATCAGTTCCTGTCGACATATGTCCACGCGCATGACCGCAGCCAACGCCTCAGCCGCCGCCACCGCCACTTCAGGCGCAGTGCTTTGTGATCCGGTGTCATCTTGGGTCGTGCGCCCGCTGGTGATGAGATGGGACAGGCAGGCCACCACGCTGTGGCCAACAACCTGATCCTGTGGGGATGGGGGTGGAGGTGGAGTAATGGCGTATCAAGAGCATGAGTAACCACCACTGGCATCAAGCTCTCCTGTGCTCTCACACAAGCAAACCAAACAAACAAAACAACACACAACACAACGAAACCAAAACAATGCAGCACGCACACACACACACACACACACACACACGCACACACACACACACACACACACACACACACACACACACACACACACACACACACACACACACAAGAAACCAACACGTACAAAAACAAACCCCGAAACGCACGCACCGGCTTTGCGGCGTTGGATGCAATTGTCTTGAGAAGAGCGAGCGCGTCGAGTTGGAGTGCGGGCAGCATGAGCTCAGCCAGCAGTTTCACCCGTCGCATGGTATCGCCCCTCGCCCCAGCTGCGGTCGCAAAATGCTTGCAGGCACTGCACATCGTCGCGAGAAAGTGAAGGGCAGCGGCGGCGGCGCCCACCAGCGATTCCACCAGCGCCATGTGCGTCATGCACATGTGCGCCTTCTCTGCTGCGGCCATGCGTGAAATGCGTGCAAGCAAATCAACGCAGCTGCTGCGCTCGAGCACACCGGCACCACCCTGCAGCCGCACAATGTCGGTGACGGCCGTGCTCGTAATGTCGACATTGTGGCGATGACAGTCGTCCACAACACGTGCTGCCGCTGCTGCCAGTGCCTGCAAGCACTTTGCAGCGCGCTCTGCCTCATGCTGCAGCTGTTGTACGGTGGTTGTCGGCAGCGCCGCCAACGCCTCGTCCTCCGTACACTCGTGCAACACAGACGATATCGTTGTCGGCGTCACTGGCGGCAGAGCTTGCGACGTGGCTTCCGCACCCGCTGTCTTGTCCTCTCCTGCACCACCAGCGGAACTCCCACCTGCACGCTCTTCCGCCTTCCCCTTGTCCACATCTGCTAGCGCGTTAACGAGGCGCTGGCATGCGTCATACACCGTCGGGTGCTCCTTCTTCAGGTTTGCCGGCAACCCGCGACACGCCTGCGCCTCCCGCTCGTGCTGTTCCTTCATCTCCTCTGTCTCCTGCACGTACTTGGCCACGGCCTGGCGCTTGCTGCCCGTGAGCGCCTTCATCGCTGCCGTGAGCGACGCCAGGGCGTCCTCAAAGCGCAGCAGGCCGCGCAGTGCCAATCCTTTGCGCAGCAGCGCCTTTGGGTGCCGGTCGTGCAGCCGCAGCGCCCATTCGCAGTCGTCCAGTGCCTCCGAGTACTGCTGCAGCTTCAGGTGGGCCTGTGCGCGGTTTGTGTACAGCACAAGGCTGTCTGGGTACAGGCGCAGGGCCGTCGTGTATGCATCCACGGCACTGTCGTGTTCGCCCCGCTTGAAGTGCTCGTTGCCCTTGAGGCGGTGCTCCTCCGATGCCTCGCGGTTGTGGCGTCGCCGCTTGGCCCGCTCCTCCGCGTCCTGCGCCATCTGCTGCATGAACGCGTTCTGTGACATGGCCGGTCCAGCGTTCACGCCACCCACGGCGCTGTCGCCTGCAGTCGTGGTGGGTGTGCTGCCGCTGCTGCTGTTGTCGTTGGTGGTGCTGTTGATACATGTGCGGTCAGCACGCACGCGCACACCATCCGCGCCATCGCTGTCCTGGGACAACTTATTGATGAGTTGACCGGCGCGGTCATATGCCGTTGTGTCCCCTTCCTTCATGCCGAGCACAACATTGTGCACCTCATTCACGCGGCCCAAGAACTCCTCCAAGTCGGCTGGCGGTGCGTTGTTATCATCACCCATGATGTGTCTGTGTGTCTGTGTGTGTCTGTGTGTCTGTGTCTGTGTGTGTGTGTGTGTGTGGTGCGTGCGTGTGTCTGTGTGTTTGTGTATCTGTGTGTGTGTGTGTCTGTGTGTCTGTGTCTGTGTTTGTTGCCACTCAAACGCGTTGTCAGCGACGTCCGTGGTTGGTGAAAAGTTACGGAAAATACAGCAAATGTTCCCAACCTGCATTGGCACAAACAGCGCCACAACACACACCACACACCGCCAACATGTCTCTGTACGACGGGCTTGGGCTGGACGCGGACGAGATTGCGCCTGATGCGCGCGCAACGACGTCCACAGCAGAATCAGGCACAAGCTCTGGTGATCCAGAACAAAAGAAGAAGAAGGTTGCAGAAGGTAACCTCGTGTGTGCGTGTGTGCGTGTGTGTGTATGTATGGGTGTGTGTGTGTGTGTATGTGTGTGCGTGCGTGTGTGTGTGTGTGTGTGTGTGCGCGCGCGCGTGTTTGTGTGTATGTATGGGTGTGTGCGTCACATGTACAGTGTCATGTGTGCCCAACTCCGTCTGTTGTTGCTGTGTGTCTCATTCTTCTGCATTTCCTTGTGGCATGTACAGGTGGAGGATGGAGCGTCAGCCAGTCCATGTTTGCCGCTCAAATGCGAAGAAAACAAGCTGAAAAGGCTCGCGGCAAGGTACACCTTGTGTGTGTGTGTGTGTGTGTGTGTGTGTGTGTGTGTGTGTTTATGTGCCGAAGCTGGTGTCTGCGTAGCTGCCAAAGCCCAACCACTCACTCAACCATTGCTGATGAACGTCTTCGTAGACCGCGGGATCCACGAAGAAGAAAAACTCGGGGCCTGGCGCTCCAAGCTTGATGAAGCCACTTGGCCATGGTTTGGAGACGGTGACGATCATCAAGAGGAAAGCTGGAGGTGACGACGCAAACGACAACACCGGCGACAACGCGGGTTCCTCACACGACCCACACGGCGGCAGCAGCACCAGAGGGTCCACGGGGAGCGGTCATGGTCTTGGTGACAGCGGCAACGGTCGACACAGCCGCACCAGCAACAACACCAGTGGTGGCTCGAGAAGTGAGCATGGAAGAAATGGGGCATCAGCGGACACACACGACGCAGAGCCTTTCAGAGAAGACCCTGCAGCCCGCAGAGAAATCAGACACCCATACTCGCCCTGGAGGTGTGTGTGTGTGTGTGTTCGTGTGGGTGTGTCTGTAAGTGTGTGTGTGTGTGTTCTGCAAGTGTGTGTGTGTGTGTTCTGCAAGTGTGTGTGTGTGTTTTGCAAGTGTGTGTGTGTCTGCCTGCTTGCTTGCTCGCTTGCTTGCTTGCTTGTTCGCTTACTCGTCTGCCTGCCTGTTTGTTTGGGTGCATGTGTACGTGTGCGCATTCCTTCATATTTGAATGCTCCGGCAATCTTCGTGCGCTGCGAACGCCGTGCACTCAACTCACATACATGTCCACCACCGCTGCGCTGCCCACTGCCTTGTAAGGCCAAACGACTTTGAGCTGATCCGCATGAAGAAGAAGGAGCGCCAGGGCGGCGAAGACGAGAGGCGGCGACAGAGCAGGAGGAGAAGGGCACCCCCACCTTCATATCCAGGGCCAATGAGTGAGTCGTGGTCGTCTCTCTCTCTGTGTGTGTGTGTGTGTGTGTGTGTGTGTGTGTGTGTGTGTGTGTGCGTGCGTGTGTCTGTGTGTCTGTGTGTCTGTGTGTGTGTGTGTGTGTCTGTGTGTCTGTGCGTCTGTGTGTGTGTGTGTGTCTGTGTGTTCGCATGAGTCGCTCGATTTGCGCTCAAGGTGCCGACCCATTCTTCCATGCGACCATCTGTGTAAGCGTCACCTTCACTTCTCCTTTGAAGCTGTGGCTTCACTGCCTGCTGACACATGCGCCCGCTTCTGTTCGTTTCGATGCAACTCAGGCCAACGCCCCAAAGCCGCAATTGCACCGCCATCTTTCCTCTCCGGTGGTGAGCCTATGTGTCTGTCTGTGTGTGTGTGTGTGTGTCTGTCTGTCTGCTCGTCCATCTGTTTTACCCGTTACCAACACGTGTGTGTTCACAACCCCCTCATCTTTCGTCCTCCCCACCACTGCCGCAACCCCAGAATCGCCACCGCCAGATCGGCCTTCATTCGCACATTAGTCCGTGTGTGTGTGTGTGTGTGTGTGTGTGTGTGTGTGTGTGTGTGTGTGTGTGTGTGTGTGTGTGTGTGTGTGTGTGTGTGTGTGTGTGTGTGTGTGTGTGTGTCTATGTCTGTGTGTGTGTGTGTGTGTGTGTCTGTGTCTGTGTCTGTGCGTGTGTGTGTGCGTGTGTGTCTATGTGTGTGCCTGTCTGTCTCTCCTTCCCTCCTCCTCCTCCTCCTCCTCCTCCTCCTCCTCCTCCTCCTCCTCCTCCTCCTCCCCCCCCCCCTCCTCCTCCTCCTCCTCCTTTTCTTTCCCCGCTCGTCCTGCCCCTTTTTTTCTTCTTCTGCTTCTTCCTCCTCCTCCCCTGCCCGATGCATGCGGTTATGGGCACGTATATCAGCACAAGACCGCACAACAGCGACCAGAGCAAAAACCAAGACCGGGAAATGTGGGTGTTGAGAGCATGGAGGAGAAGGGCAACACGTGCTTTTGGTCAAAAATGGAGGAGGAATCTTCAACACGGCCACAGAATGCGTTTTGCATGCAGGTGTTTCAGGGGCGAGGGGAGTGGGGTTGGCCTGTCCAGCCGTTCAAATAACACAAAGAATGAAAGAAGAAGCAATCCACACCCAAACTGAAAGCAGCAATTGCACCACCACTATCACACAAACAACAAAACACCAGATGCCATTGTCATCGCCAGACCATAACCAGCACTAATACCATCTTCACCATCATCATCATCATCATCATCATCATCATCATCATCATCATCATCATCATCATCATCATCATCATCATCATCATCACCATCATCATTCGTCGAGCCCGTCCAGGAGTGAGTCGATGTCTTGCAAGAGCTTGTCGCTGCTGCTGTTCTTCGTCTCCTCCGGCACCGCCATCGCCGCCCGCTCTTTCGTTGCTGCCGGCGTGGGCGGTGGTGCTGTGCTCCGCTTCACCTGATTCGACAGCAACGGTGGCGGTGGTGGTGATTGTGGTGCATGCACGATGGAGGGCACGTCAGCAGACGCGGGTGATTGAGGTGGCGGATTATCGCGCCACACACACACACACACACACACACACACACACACACACACACACACACACACACACACACACACACACACACACACACACACACACACACACACAATCACACACACACACACAATCACACACACACACACACACATACATACACACACATACACACACAGACATAAACGTACAGGAGAGTGCATCTCTGTTGCGATTCTGAGGGCCTCCATCTTGTCCCAGTCCAGCGTTGAATACGCGCTGACGCCAACCGCACCATCCAACACATCGCTCGACACATATGCTTCATTCACCATCGTCGTGGCTGTCGTGTTGTTGCCATCACCCGCTGCTGTGGTCGTTGGCGGCGACGGTGATGACGATGCTGGCGGCTGTGGTGATGTGGATGTTTCCTCGGTTGTGTTATTGTCTGCATTCGCCACCGGCATGGATGGTGGCCGCGTGTCGCCTTCGCTCGTGGTGGCGGTGGCCGGAGTTGGAGATGCGCTGTCGTGTTTGTTGTAATCGTCATGCGTGCTTGCGACGCTGCTGCTGTCACTTGCACTGCTGTCGTGCCTGTGCTCTGTCGTTGCTGCTGTTGCTGTTGCTGTTTTTCTTGTTGTTGCTGAGCCGACCAGGTCGAGGTCAACGTAGTTCATCTTGGGGCGGCCGTCCACCCCACGCTCGATCCCATCGCTCTCCTCTTCATGCACCACAAACTATGTGTATAGGTGTGTGTTGTGTGTGTGTGTGTTGTGTGTGTGTGTGTTGTGTGTGTGTGTGTGTGTTGTGTGAGTAAGTGGGTGTGAAAAAGGGTAGAGAAGGCAAGGAAGCGATTGTGCAAAAGCAAAACCAATCCCCTCCCACATACACACACATGTACACACACATACACATGCACACACACACACACACATGCGCGCCAGGCGACTGTCCCCACCTTGCGAGGTGGCGGGACGGTGATGGATGAGGAGGAGCTGGTGGTTGTGCTGATGGACGATGCACTCTGTGTTCGCATGGACTCCCGCGTCAGCTGCGATGCTGCAGCCGTGATGATGACGGTCGCAGCGACGGTCGCGGTGGTTGCAGAAGGGGGGAAGCGAGCGTGCATGGATGAGCGGCAATGGCAGCATGACGTGGCCGAGCGAGGGAGCAGTGACCAGAAAGCATGCGAGCAAATTGTGCGCATGCGCGCGCGCGCGTGTGTGTGTGTGTGTGTGTGTGTGTGTGTGTGTGTGTGTGTGTGTGTGTGGGTGGGTGGGTGTGGGTGTGTGTGTGTGTGGAGGTACCATGGTTCACGGCTGGGACGATGCATACGCCCGGCGGAAGGGTCACGGAGGTCCAGCCAGCGCCATAGGGGCACTGGCTCCCAGCCTCAAGCTTGAATCTGCAAACCACGGCAGCAACAATGACATAAGGTTATGCCTTGTGTGTATGTGTGTGTGTGTGTTGGGGGCAGCGTGCCGTTGCAGGCTGCTTACATTCTGTCCTGCTGGGCGTATTGACGCAGGTGCTTCAGCTGGAAGCTCTTGTACACCTCCTGCAGATGCCATGGATGCGTTGTTAAGACGCATCCGCAACATGTACACGCAAACGCACACGCACACGTACACGCACACGCACACACACACATACACACATACACACATACACACGGAAGCAAGCTCATTCACGCATGCACACACCAACACCAAACACATGCACACACAAGCAAGCGCATTCACGCATGCAAACCAGCACCAAATACACGCACACCCAACACGAAACACATGCACACGCACACACGTGCACACACGCGCGCACACCTTTGAGCCCTTTGGAAAGAGCATGATGGCATACTGCTGCACCTCCAACTCAAACGGAGCTTCTCCATACGTGACAGAGATGCGCTTCTTGACTGCAACATACACACGCACACATTCACACACACATATGTGTGTGAGCAGACATGGACGATATGATACAGTCACATCACATCATGTGTGAATGGGTGTTATTGTACGCAGTGCGACATGTGCTGCAGCTACCATGCGCGCACGCGAGCATGTGGCCAGGTGCTGTCCGTGAAGGGCTTACAGTAGTCTGTGGAGGAGGACGTTGCGGGCTGGTCCACTGAAGGGTCAGATGTGGAGCCGCACTTCAACCCGGTTTGCTCACTGGTGGGAGATGTATGGAGGGAGGAATGTATGGGAACGTGTGAGTCATGGATGTGCGCGTGGATGCATACACATGAGCACGTGCCCACACACACGCGAGCGAACACACACACACACACACACACACATACACACACGTTGCACACAAGAGAACGCATACACAAGCGAGCACCGCGAGGAACACAGCAGCCTACGTGAGGTGCTTGATCCACAAGTCTCTGGATTGGGCAGAGTCTGCAGAGAAGAAGTAGACACGGTTGTTCTTCAGGGTGGTGGAGATGCTGAACATGAAGTCGTACTTGCCCCCACTACACCGGTTGATTGCCGTCATATGCGACAGCGGGATCTCCTTCACGCCCTGCGCCCAACGCAAGCATGAGACACACAGCATGCAACTTTGGCAGTTAGTGGGGTCATCGTGCGCATGTTCGCGCAAGGCCGTGCACAAGCATACACCATGACATGCACACATGGATGTACCAAACCATGACACACACACCCACACACACTCTCTCTCACACACACTCTCTCTCACTCAAACGCACACACACACTCTCTCTCTCTCTCTATCTCTCTCTCACAGAGCCACCCTCACACACTCACTCACACACCCACACTCTCTCTCACCCACACTCACACTCAAACACACACACTCACTCAAACACACACACACACACACAATGACACACACACACACACACACACCTTGCCCGTGTCATACGCGAAAGCGCGATCTGTCAGGGTGAACTTTCGCCGCTTCCAGCGCTTGAAGCTGACGTCCAGCAGCGTGTTCAGCGGCGGGGACTTGATCAGGTACCCGCTGTGTACCTCGTGCTCCGACATGGCGGCAGACGCGTGCGTGTGTGCCCGTGCGTGTCCGTGCGTGTCCGTGTGTCTTGGTGGATGTGGTGGGTTGAAGACACGGGTATGTGGGAGAGGGGAGGAAGAACAAAAACACCAAGCTGGAATGAACAACAAAATGACGCGAGCAAGAAGAAGAAGAAAAACACAAACAAACCGCAGCAAGAAGTTGCAATTGAAGGGATGACCAAGGTGTTGGGTTGACAAGACATCAACATCATGGACTGTGCACACGACTTCGCAAGCAAGGGTGTGTCTGTTGCCGTGATGTGACAACCCAGTTGCTTGGTTACATTACTTGTTTACTTGGAACTGCTTACTTTGAGCATTCATTACCACCACCATCATTACCACCACCATCATTGCCATCACCGTTTGTACATGTGCCAGCCAACCTGACAACAACAGCATCCCCGCAACAACACCAAGCCCACTCGACAACGTCCACGCACGCCCCCTTGTGTGTCTCATTGGAAGGACGGGTGGAGAGGAAAGTAAGACGGCGCAGTGACGTTGCCTGCTTGCCATCGTGTATGCACACCCGGTCCACCACCATGATCACCACCTTCAACACCACCACCAACAACATCGCCACCGCCAGTCACGCCAGCATCGTCGCCCATGTGCGATGCACGCGCCGCCATCACGCCAGGTGGATATGTGCGCTCGTGGAAGGTGTCGAAGGTGGTGCTGAGGGCGTTCCATCTGCGGGTGCCCTGCCAGTTCCACTGCAGGTGTAGCGGTATCTCCCCAGCAAGCAGCGGGCGATCGCTGCTGTCGCCAACGGCCACCGTCCGCTCAGGCACCACCATCTCCCGTTGCTGCAGTGTTGATTGATTGCGTTGGTTGGTTGGGGGTTGTGTGTGTGTGTGTGTGCGCGTGCGTGCGTGCGTGTGTGCGTGTGTGTGTGTGTGTGTGTGTGTGTGTGTGTGTGTGTGTGTATGGTTGCATTGGATGGAAATGAGATGCAAGTGAGGCAAACATCAAAACGCACAGCGCACGCTGGAACGGTGAATTGATGAGAATCATCATCACACAAGCACACGAGCATCCACATGCAAACCCAAACGCAAACACACGCATACACGCACACACGCACACACGCAAACACACGCACAAACACACAAGCACACACGCACACACGCACGCACGCATACATACACAAGTGCCCACCGCACCTTGTCCTGGAATGTGCTTGCGAGGTTGTCAGCAGCAACGCGGCGCATGAGCGCTGCCCGTGCCCGCGCCTCTTTCTCCTCCTCCTCGCTCAGCCACTTGAGTGGGTCACCCTGCACAAGCACACGCAATTTTAGCACAGGTGCGCGTGCGTGAGTGTATGTGGGGTGTTTGTTTGTGGCAGGGTAATGAGTGCGGTTGCGTGTATGTGTAGATGTTCAGCGGCAACAACGAGGAGACAGCTCATTTCCCACCATACACACAAACTACACATGCAGCACTGCCCTTTGTCGTCATCGCCACCACCACGTGCTGTTGCCCACAATGCCTCACCTGCTCCACGCTCTGTGCAATGAGAGCGTGCAGTTCGTGCGAAGTGCGAGGTGGAAGCCCATTCCGCTTCCGCCGGATCTTGTCCTGTCGCAAACGGTGCTCCATCTCAAGCAGCCGCTATCGATGATGTGCATGCGTGTGTATGTATGTGTGTAAATGTATGTGTATGAATGTGTGCGTGTGTTAGTTTGGCCTCGACGCAGGTCAAAACAACAGCCCTCGACAACTCCCTTTGCCCCTCCCCCAAACCTCCCTCCCTCCGTTGCCTCCATATACCCCCCCCTTCTCTCCCTCTGTCTCTCTAAGCCCCCCCCCTTCATACACACCCTGTGGTTGTCGACAATGACGCGGTAGTCCACCCTGCCCTCTGCATCCATCCCGCACTGACACACAAACCGCTTCACGTGCGCCGGGTTGAGCCCCTGCAGCGTGCCCTCAAACTTGTTGCACTGCAGCATCACCAGAAACACGCGCTCGTGCCTGTCGGCGGTGCGCAGGCTGCCTGCCAGCTCCAAGTAGCTGCAGATCATCTCCACGGGGAGACGGTAGTCCTCCGTGTCCTCCTTCAGCCGGGAGAACAAATCGTGCAACCGCCACCTATTTTTCGCCACAAACGCCTCAATCGCGGTCGACGCCTCCTGGAACGTCTGCCCGACACCCGAGAAGGACACGTGCCTGCGGGCGCTCATGGGCAGCGCAACGTCGTGCATGGACATCCTGTGTGGGCTGAGGTGGCTCCCAAACCGCTGCCTCTCTGGTTGCGGTTCAGGCGATCGCCCCAGCGGCGGCATCGTGCTCGCTTTGCGCTGTGGACTTACAGACACCCGCCGTGCCCCGCCCCTCGCTGCTGTCACCGCTGCTGTCGCTGCCGCTGCCCTGCCAACAGCGTTGTTGCTGTGGCTTCTCGGGCGACGGCTGCCATCGCGAAGACTCATGCTGCTTCGTGACTGCAGACTGCTGGTGCTCACACCCCCACGCCCGATGCTATCGCCAAGACCGCCACCACTCGCCCGCTTGGTGCCACCGCCCACCGCACTCCGTCGCCGCCGCCGCTGTTGCTGCTGCTGCTGCTGTTGCTGTTCTTGCTGTTGCTGCTGCTGTTGCTGCTGCTGTTGCTGCATCATGAGTTGAAACAGCACGCGGTCCTCTGCGGGGCAGCGCTGCTTCGACAGCAGGAACTCCTGGTCCAGCGCCATGCCTTGAGATGGGACGGGGCAGGGGGAGATGGCATCGAGGAGACGTGTTGGATGGGGGTGTTATGGCGGCAGCCAGGCAGTCAGTCAGTAAGTACGTACATTGATTAAAACAAACAGGTGGGCAGGCAGTCAGTCAGTGGCGCAGGTTGGAACACACACACACACACATACTACAGACTCGTACACAGCTGCACGCACGCGCGTACACTCGCACACACAGTATACACGCACACAGTACACACAACACACACACACACGCACAGTACCCCCCTCCCAAACACACACGCGCACACAACACGTGTGTCCGTCGTACCGGCCATGTTGGACCGCACGCCCATCCGCTCCTCAATCCACGAGCGAACAGCAGCGTCGTTTGCCTTTCCATTGGCACCAACATCACTGTCACGGGCATTGCCTGGTGCGTTCGCGTCACCATCCCCGCCAGCACTGTCACCGCCACAGCCCGCATCAACAGCATCAGCATCATCGCCAGCATGGCAGCGTAACCGGGCCCTGCTCCGCTGCGCCCTGATGGAGGTGCTGGTGCGCTCCAATATGGCCTCCAGCTCGTCGTCCGGCGGGGGCTGTTGCTTCGCCACCTGCCGGTTGATGCGCTGCACATTCACTGCGCGAATTGCCGCCGTCTTGGCGATGAATTCGCGGGCCTGCTGCTTGGCCTTGGACTGCTGCAGATCCCGGGTGTCCCGCGCCGTGTCTGGGCGGCTTGGCGGCGAGCCAAGGTCCATGCTACCGCGCTCGTCAAACGTGTACAGGTGCTGCATGTCGTCCTGCACGGCGTGGAACGCCTCTTCCTCCTCCTCGTCGTCCGCTTGCTGCCGCTGCTGCTCTCGCGCCCGCAGCCTCGCCGTCAGACTCATCATGCCGCTCTGCGCGCTGCTGTTTGCGGTTGGCGGGTGGTGATGCAGTGGCGCCTTGTGTGAGTGGTGATGCGAGTGGTGCATGGAGGACCCGCGGCCGCGCCTGCCGTGGCCTTTCCCACCGCCGATGGCATCCCAGGGGCTCAGGTGATGCTTTGGACCGCCGCCAGTGCTGCGCAGTGTGGAGGCTGCCGTGTCCACGGAGCTGCGCCCGCCTTGCTTTTCCTTCTCCCCAGACGATGGTCGCCTGTGCCGTCGGCGCCCGCCACTCCGTGTCCGGGCCGGGCGGGCGTCGGATTCGTCCTCGATCTTCATGCTGAAGGGGCCCGCAGGCATCACCGGCCCGAGCCCATGGCTCAGAGATGTTGTTGCGTATGGCGACGCGGTTGATGCGGTGGCGTGTGTTTCATGCGAGATGGCGCTGCTGAACGTCGCCCCACTGCTGGCAGAATCACGACCCTGTGGCCGCCGACGCAAGGACATTGCACAAGGAGGAGGTTGTCTATCCACGCGGGTGATTCGTGTGTGTTTGGGGGGGGAGGGGCGAGGAGATTTGAGAGTGAGACACGCAGGCGATCGAGAAAGCAAAAGGCAAAGGAAGCAAAGGTAAGCAAGCAAGGTCAAGCAAGCAAAGGTAAGCAAGCAAGGTCAAGCAAGCAAAGGTAAGCAAGCAAAGGTAAGCAAGCAAAGGTAAGCATGACACACACACATACACACACACACACACACACACACACACACACACACACACACACACACACACACACACACACACACACACACACACACCTCTTGTTGTCGCTGTTGCCAACAGCCAAATGTATCCGGCATTTATGTAGGCCGGCCTCTTTCTATGCCGAATCATGGTGAGTGGGGCGGTTTGGTGGCGCGTGTTTGCTCTCTCTGCTGGTGGACGTGGTTGGTGGCGTGGGTGTGTGAGTGTGTGTGTGTGTGTGTTGGTGAACATGTGTGTGTGTGTGTGTGTGTGTGTGTGTGTGTGTGTGTGTGTGTGTGTGTGTGTGTGTGGTATCTGCAAGGGAGCTGCAAAGCAAGGCGGGCAGGTCGTACTACGGTGCCGTCGTAGCATGGGCGTGTCTTGCTCTCAAGCAAAAGGGCGGTTGCCTCATGCACTCTGTGTGTCGACACAGCATTCAAGTGCTGTTTTAACGGTGAACGTGGCTGTTTCTCGATCAACTTTGTCTCACCACCACATGCGTATATGTACGGCGTATGTGCTGGTCTTGCTTGTGTGGTTGTGCCTATGCTTGGAACAGGCTCAGCGAAGCGGCCTGTTGCGCTCCTTCATGGACCGGGTGTTCTCGCCCGCGTCATCTGGCAAACGAAAGGTGCATTACCACATGGCCGGTTGTCGTTGCTGACTCCTCTTTCACGCTAGACACTGTGGGTGGTCGTGGCTGGTGTTTGTTTGCTCATTCTCACTCGACCGCTCGGTGCCGTGTGGCTCCTATCCTCTGTCTTGTAGGCACATGAGGCACCATCTTCGTCCAGCGAGACTGCGCCAAAGACGTGCGTGCAAATGTGTGCTCTGTGTGTGTGTGTGGTGTGGTGTGGTGTGTGTGTGTGTGTGTGTGTGTGTGTGTGTGTGTGTGTGTGTGTGTGTGTGTGTGTGTGTGTGTGTGTGTGGTGTGTGT